CAGAGCACCTCATGGCTAGATAGGTGGGCAAACATAGCGGAACCTATGTGCGGAATATTCTCATTCTGAAAATATCTGTTTGGCTATTTCTGCAGTCAAAGGCAATTGCAACTATTATGAATATGGTAACTTTGTTTTCAGTTTACTATAATTTATAACTTTAAGGTGCTCCATTTAGGCTTGTAGACCATATAGATCATATGGATCTCAGCTGAACGCCACAGTTTATCATGGACTTAATATTGAATTTGGCAGAATAGGTGAAATTAAAGGATCTGCTAAAATCCTTAACCTGGCAAATGAAAAATGAAATGCAGGTTTTAGACCCTTAATCCTGTTAGGGCATTCTATGCTGTCCTACATAAAGTGGGCTTTGAAGCCTTTAAGGTGGCATAGAATGCCATGCATATTTGGTGTGTGTAAGGTTAGATCCCTGCTCACACCACTAACTTCATGTATCAATGGCTACCTGGGGCTCCTCTTAATGTGCTGGGGACAATTTTAGTGTCTCCAGGCTTTTTCATGAGCTGCTTGCAGCGCTGGAAGCAAGTGCTGCAAGTGGCTTTTTAAATAGGCATTTAAATGCGCTCTAACAGATTACAGTGTGAGCAGGATTAAATCAATAGATACCTGGGGCTCCTGTAAGTCAGTTGGGGCCATTTTTAATCTGACTGATAAGCTTATTAATTCATTGATAAAAAAAATGCAACTAGTCCATATAAAAACATGGGTTTTGTGGGGTGCTAGGCTTTGCCAGGTGCCCAGCACCAATCTATCTATAATAGGCTGGGAACTAAGGTCATTCAGAATTACACTAAGTGTAATTATGAAAACGGCCAGTAGATGGTGGCAAATATTACCCATTTAAAATATAAGAATTGATATTAGCAGTGGGTTACCTTAAGGTAAAGGTTGGGGATAGTGGTGGGATTGGGGTGGAGTTAGGGATAAGAATAGGGTAGGGTTACACTTAGTGTTGGGTTAGGGTTAGGGTTAGCTTTAAGCTCTGTGTAAGGTTATGGTTAGAGTAAAAGTTAATGTTTGGTATAGGTCAATGGTTTTTTAAGGTTAAAGACTGTGTAGTATTTAAGTTAAGGGTAAGATTAGGGCATACATTTAGAATTAGTGTAAGCATTGGGTAAGGGGTATGGTTGGTATAGCGTTAATGTTGGGTGTTGGGATAAGGTTTGGACTAACTATCAAAATTTATTTAGATCCTAATCATATTAGGTATTTAACAATCAGGACTGAATCTATTTTAAATTCTTTTTAATTAGTTGCACTGGATGTGTAAAAATCTGTGTAAGCAAAAATGTAAAAAAAATATATTTTTTCTAGTTTTTCATATGTAATTAACATGCAATGTTGTGTTAGGTATCAATATATGAAAAGCCCTTTCTTCCTGTCCACATAAATGTACCAATTATAGAGACGCTGGAGAATAACGGTTATCTAAATGAATAGGCTAATACACAAAAGCAGAAACAAAATGTAGTTGAAAAGACAGGTGTTGATGAGAAGCCCTCAGCATGGACAAGCTATATAAGTTAGTTAGAAAATCAAATTACTGGTGTTAGGTCACTTAAAGGACCACTATAGTACTCGTTTTCCTGTCACTATAGTGCCCTGAGGGTGCCCCCACCCTCAGGGACCCCCTCCCGCCCGGCTCTGGAAGGGGGAGAGGGGTAAAACTTACCCTTTACCAGCGCCGGGCAGGGAGCTCTCCTTCTCCTCTCCTCCTCCGATCCTCCCCGTCGGCTGCACGCGCATTCAGCCGGTCACATAGGAAAGCATTATCAATGCTTTCCTATGGACGCAAGCTTGCTCAATCACGCAAGCGCCTTTAACTCTCTCTGAAACTGCTATGTTTATAAAAAAAAATGGGTTAACCCTAGCTGGAACTGGCACCCAGACCACTTCATTAAGCTGAAGTGGTCTGGGTGCCTAGAGTGGTCCTTTAAACTGTCCACTGATGTATGATGCTATCACAAACCATTTAAGTGTGTTTTTTCACATGTGCAGTCTTAGTGCCAAGGCAGGTTAAGGGGTTTAATGCATTACCTATGCAATAGGCATTACAATGTCTATGTGCCATATAGAACAATTGAGGTCATGAATGACCATGTATCTTGCAGTTCAACATGAGAATTCAAGGGCTTGTCACAGGCCTGATATTTATTTAATTGTATATACTGCAATTTAGAAACAAATAACATGATCATATATCAATATTTAACAGAGAAAACAGAAATACACAATAAAGGGCATGTGGTTTGAACAAGTTAATAAGTTTTGTGCAGGTTTAACTCCAAAGCAAAACAAGCAGGTACAAGAAAAACAAAAAATAAAATGAAAATGTGTTTTATTTTACTTAACATGTATTCTTGAAGTGGTTGTTTTTAAAAAGCACATTTTTTGTTATAGAACAAATAAAAAAAGAAAAGAAATGTAATGCAGTATATAAAACTAAAATGTACTGTTTGTGATTTGTGGACTAGCACTCAATGCAATGTAGACAACAAATTTAACACTAATAATAAAAGGATAGCAATCCCACAGATGTGTTCCTCCCAAAGAATCATTATCTCAGAATGATAACTGGTGAACTGGGAAAATTAAAGATTATATATATATAAAAAAAAAAAAAAATCTCAGAACTTCAATACTTACAGTAAAAGTTGGTGAGCTCACTCATTTGCTATGTCTCACAACTGTGGTCAGTATAAAGGACATGGAAGGTTGTCTTATTACATCACGATTCCCACTGGTCCTACTATTTCACTTCTTCTCAGAGTAGGTTTGAAGGATCCATCCACAGGAATGCAGTTTAGCATAAAGCATTAAAAACATATAGAAAATATGTAAATACAAATTGATATTTGATAATAACAGTGTCTAAGATCATTTCTGGAAAACATCCAAAGTATTAAGAAAAATGATGGACCAAGTCCACAAAACTACTTCATCAGGTGGAGACTTGCGACTGTTTGAAACTTTTGATGTCAAGTCATATCAAAAGTTAAACAAAACTATTGAAGTATAGGTCAGCCCTAAACGATTTTGCCTAGCTTGGCTTCCAGCTCTTTAATATGATTATTTATTCTTTAACTCAACAATGCATCTCTTCCATTAAGAATTAATAAACGTTGACAGAGCATACATATTTTTCCAGTATAAATTAAATAAGGAAAGGAAGTATTATTATTAAAGATCTTGATGAAGCACACTGATATACTCTAATTTATGCAAATACATACACTTGGCTCATGTTTTTACAGTTTTACTCCAAGGACCAAGATTTGTGATCTTTATGGTGTGAATTTACATTCAGATTAGAAATCTTAACTTTGTTAATCAAACTAATTTGTATTTCATTAAATCAATAAACAGTATCCAGGTTAACACACTGTGAGAAACAATTAAAAACATGCAGCAAAGGAACAGCCTGTGGTGGGGACATAAAGGTTTATTCACTAAACAAGAAAGACAGAAAAGCCAACGGCAAAAGCTAATTCTCATATTTACTAAAGTTAAATACAGTTGGAATTCATTCGGTCAGAAATCTGCAGCAATCGCCAGGATGCTTCTTTGTCCAGATTAAAATCAGTGCAAATTATAGGATTCAGAAGGTTCACAAAGGACTGAATTTGAAAACATTGGAAGCACTAGCGGTCAGTGGGTAAATGGTTAAATAACAGCGCTGTCAGGGTTAATTATGTGACAGCTGGTTTAGGACTGGCTGTCCAGTTACCACATTAAAAAAGTTAAAATAAATTGTAGAAATGTAAATAAAAAAGCAAATGGGGGGTGGGGTCAATAGGATCCCCATATTCCTTAAAGGAAGGGGCTGGTTAGGAGATAGGAATGTGTCGAGGCTGAGTGGAGGACATGAGATCCACCCCATGAATATTATATTTAGGACCCCACCCACTGCCAGTGGGTGTGTTGGTGGAAGCTGGGGGTATAACATTAGAATGTCACTATCCACCCCATTACTTATTGTAAAGTCCCCCACTTGATGCCAAGGTCGAGAGGAACTATGAAATGGGGCACTTCTAGTTTTCATTATTAGGCAGCTTTGCAACTACTTGCTGCGTGGAAGTTTCAAAAAGCACTACTTGTGGTCACAGGTGGGGTCATGGGGGACTATGCCCAATCCACTATTTAATAGGACCAATCTTCATGGCATGGAGCCTTTCTAGTTTAAAACATTAAGCCGATATGCCCCACCTAATGCCTAATTTGTAGGTGCACAGGAAGGTTTTAAATCTCCTTTATAGTAATATAGGGGTCTTATTGACTCTCATAGACTTTTTATTAAATCAATAGTTTTTAAGGTTTTTAATGTGGCAGCTGGCAAACAAATGCCACATAATTAACCCTTGTATATTTTTTACCCATTTGTCTGCTGACTGCTAGTGTTTCCACCAGGTAAAAGTTTGGATTTTATAAAATCCAGACCAAGATTTGAAGCATTCAGGTCTGGATTTCAGGCATTGTTCAGTCAGGCTAAAATCAGGACCAAATTCATTCCTGATTGGGCTATGAGTTGCAAATTCTGGACATTGCTGAGTAGCATGAACAGTGTCCGAATTTTGGAGTCTGAATGTTCTGTATGGAGCCAGATGGTTTTGCTCCATTCAGTACGGGGCCATTCAGACTTCAGTGAAAAACACCTATAGATTACTTAACATGTTTCGTGCAGAGTGATGCACATAATCACTGGAATAAATGATCTCTTCATCATAAAATCATGTTGATTCCTCAGTAAAGACATTGATGTTTAAAATGAATTTCTGAATATTATCCCTTAACAACCCTACAAATAATTGCACAGTTCTATGCTACTGATCTTTTTTCTAATATGGGCAATATATCAGTTTTTCAACAATTAATTGGTACAATTCCTTAATTAGAAGTGCCCCAAAAGATTAAAAACAGTGGTTTGTATTTTTCTACTCTAACTTTGAGAAGTACATTTGAGTGAATACCATATGACCCTGGAGTTTTGTATTTATCTAAATGTGTGTATCTCTAGTTGTGAATGTCTTTTCCTGTGTGGCTGATTTTCTAGGTGTGTGTGTATGTGTCTCCCTGTGTGAATACATACCTGTGTGTACATTTATATATGAGACTGCTTCTGTGAGTTACTGTTTCTTCTGCTGTGTGTAGTTCACTGACTGTGTCAACAAATGTGTGAGGGATTGTGGGAGCAGAAATGCAATCTAAAAACAGACAGGAGAAGCGGCGTGGTTGCAATTTGGGGGCTCTATAGCATTCTATTAGACACAATGCAGGGGCAATGTGATTACGCAAGTGGGGAAATGTGGGGCCAATGTGGACAAATAAGACAACATATGGACAAATTAGGAGAAATATGACAACATAAGGGATACAACATGACAAGCATTAATATAAAAATATGTGGTAACATAAACATTGGGGCAGTATGAAAAAAACACTATGTACGGGAAAAACACTACATATGGCCAATATAAATAAATATATATGGTGCAATATTGGTAATGGTAGCATGATAACATGGGTGGAAATTTACATGGTGCAACATGACAAAACAATGATGAATATGTAGCAGGTAATATGCATGAGACAATAAGACAGCAAATTTGTCAAATCTTGTGTTTTTGAGTGTATATGTATGTATGAAAATTTCTACTTAGAAATTAGAAATGTGATTAGTTAGTTAACATCTAAAACCAAGAATTGAAAATATTAAAATTAATTTAAAGAATCAGAATCTGTGTCCACTGGATAAAGTGAGATAAAAATAGTGTATTAAGTAATTTAGGTGGTTTAGGTGACTGAGAGCTTGAGGAAAAAAGTAGCATTAAAAACATATCATATGGGGGAATGTCCTGCCAGCGTGCTGAGAGGTCGCATGGAGTGATTGCTCCCGTTACACCAAGCCCATATCAGCGATTAATAGACCGAAGTCATCCACAAACCATGCAGCCAAGCAGCATCTGATTAGGTAACCCACATGGCCCAATTGATGCAACTGACAATCACGGATCCGGTCCGTCAAAGCACTACGAGGGATCGCCTCTAACTGCTGCAAGATAGCGACTATCAAGCGGCACACTCACCAACATCCGAGAGCCCATCGGAGATTGATTCTCTGGTGTTCCCATCTGAAGACACTCCAGTCACCAACAAGAGTCTGCACACAATGCTCCTCAGCCTCCAAATGACCCTGCAGGATGATTTCTAGAAATTAGCGGACCTGTGAGGATGAACCTGCCATCTGGAAAACAAGGCCGAAGAACTCTGCGTGGCTCATAACGAAGTCACAGACAGGCAGCAAAAACTGGAAGAGGACCATGCTGCCCTGAAGCATAAAGTGGCAGACATCGAAGATGGTGCACGACGCAACAACATACATTCTCGGGGCATCGCTGATTCAATCTCCAACGACGAGCTGCCTAAATACCTCCTATCCTTTTGCAAAGTATTGGTCCCTCACTTGGATGACACCACTTGGGCCTTCGACCGTGTGCACCACTTGCCGAGACCGCAACATTTCACAGCGGATACTTCACGTGACACAATAGACCGCTTCCATTATTTGAACTCCAAGAATCAACTTCTCAACGCCGCACGGAAGATTCCCTGCTTACCTGAACTGTACCGGGATGAGGGATAAGCTTTGTAAAATATTGATGCAATGGTACCTAGTTCCTTCTCGACTAGCCCAAATATACCCCTCTGCCTCCCCGTTGTGTTGGAGATGCAATAAGGACCCCAGGAACTATTAACCACATCTTTTGGGTTTGCCCCATATTGACGAAATTGTGGAAGCAGGTAGAAAGAGTCATCTATGACGTGACTTCATTTAAGGTTCCCTTTCGCCCAGAATGTTTTTTGTTGCACATAGCTCTTGAACTTCATCTATCTCCTTACAAAGTAGTAATCACGCACCTGTTGCTGGCTACTAAAGTCAGCATTGCGAGCTATTGGAAAGACCCCAAGCCCCCATCACTACATGAGGTTCTCCAATGGGTAGAAGTTTAAATGAGGGAATGGCATATAGGTTAAATGAGAAAACCGAAACTAATAATAAAAACTGGATTAGCTGGACATCTCAACCACATAGTACTTTTTAACTCATAGGTTAGGCACGGAGGGTTCCTGATTGGACACAAACTGAAGTCCAGTATTCTGGACCATGGAGCCTATCTATCTGTATACCTTGCCGGAGGTCACACAGGGTACCCCCTCCAACATAATAACGCCTTAACTGCCTCGTTGGTTCAAGGTCCAAAGACATCAAACTATCGTAACCAAGGGCACATAACCCCCAGTTATATCTCCCTCACCCTATTTAGTTATTCTTCCCACTTTTTTCCTAAGCATGTCGAAACAACTAAGGTTCCTTATTGGTTATAGTCCATGTCACAACATGCCAGTTCACTGCTTCTCCTAAGAAGGGACAAGTGTCCAATTTGTCTGGGCTACAACACCACACCATGGAATGTCATAGGCAACTTCCCGAGTACGAGAAACCAGCTGTGTCTTCACCGATGCATTCCCAGGAACAATTAAATGTAAATAGCTAGAATAGGGAGGGCCAAAGCTCTCATGTTCACTACCTACTGTATTACAAGTGGAGTATGTGTCTGGCATGATTAACAAACCTATTCTTCTTTTTGTATGCATTAGTCATATTCTATGTTTTGTACATTACATGCCTGTTAATGTCGGCTAGAAGTCTCATGTACACTGCGTACATTTTTCATGGAATGTAAAGTGTGATTATGTATGTATAATGAACCCATCTTCCCTTCTGTAACAAATATATTCCTGTTTTTTCTCGACTTTTTGAAAAATTACAATAAAAACGATTGTGTCAAAACCCCTATTTTGTGTATACCAATGCCCCTTTTTCGCATGCTGTTCGAGCATTTGGCTCTATTCATCTTTTATTTTGTTTATCAGCAAATTCACTGAACAACGAACACCCTCCTGGCTTGTTAACTTGAAACAAACCACAAGAATGCAGGTTCTTTGTGTGGCCTCTTGTCGCACGGATACAGGCAGTGGGACGACCCGCACCCTGGTCAAAACCCACGAACGCCTGCTTCTAGCTGCGGCAAGCTAGGAGAACCTAGTTCGACGGTTTGTTCGGCAGAAAACTACCGAACCATTAACATACACTGAGCAAGGAGAGGCATTCACCTTTTCGTTGATTTCTCTACTTTCTGTTCGTATGAAAACACATGAGCTAATACTGAACAGACTTATTTCGAACGGTCGGTGAAATCTTTAACCCTATGGTGATTTGATGTTCATGGGATCTGAACACTGTTCGTATATATTGAGCGCTCAGATCCAAGCTATCTGGGGATATGTTGACTATGGGGGTTCAGTTATGTAAAAGATGAGTTATGTATTTTAACGTGTTTTGTAAAAAGTATAACTTGGAAATATTTTCTTTACCTGGAGATAATTAAGTTTACTATGGCCACTTACCCCAATTATCTCCAGGATAGAGAGGAGGGCCTTTTCTGTTTGTGTGGGAGTGTTTTACATTTTACTGTATGTTGATTGGTTATTGTAAATTGTGTCCCAGTCCTCCACAAGGTCCATGTGGGAGTATCCCTTGCTGGAGGACCTGCATAAAAGGCCAAGCTGTGGCCACCATTAAACAGATCGTTTTACCCATTCATGAAGTCTTGGCTCATGTTTGGGGGAATTGTAGCTATAATTCACTACACATTCTGCTACACCTGGATTTCAGGAGGTTTTCAAAGAATATACTCAGCTATAGTATAGGGGATCCGTTACAACGATATGTCGGAAAAAACAAAAACATATATAATATAATTGTTACGTGTATTTGCAAATATTATATATGTAACTGATGGTATTATATTTTATTGTATATTTGTCTTTTTAAGCCTCATGTTTGTGCAAACTGTTTCTTTTATTTCGATCTTCACCAAAAAACTTGTCAAGAAGGTGTGTTGTATTATGTCGATCCCAAATTATATGTTCTAGAGATAACGTTTAGAAATTAGTTTTAAAGGAAGAATTAAAGGAGTCTAGGGCTTATACATTATGTTTACTTATCCCCTATATTTAATCGCTTTTAATCTAGAAATCCATACAAATGTATATAGTCCTGTCCTTGAAATGAGTGTCACCACTGTGCTTCACTGTCAGTCATTGTTAATCTGTGATATACTTTTAAAGGCATTGTATGAATGAAAAAAGTTGTTACAGACTCTAGATGATCTTCAAAGTTTTCAGTGTTGTAGTTTCCAGAGATGTGGTGGCTGCCCTTAAAACTGTGCAAGTACCCCGCAGTGACATAACACTTGGCCTGCTGTTTCCAATAAATTCTCTTTAGTTTGAAAGAAGCTGACTAATGTGTGATCACATTCATATGTTAACTCTGTATGTATACTATTCTTGTATACACTCACCTTTCTAATAAAACATTGTATATACCAGATTATCCATTATAAGTGTATAGAAAATTATCATCCTAGAAGCATATGAGCCTAGAAACACATGTAAGTCATACACTATGAACATTTTCCAAGTTCACATAAACATATAATACGTACATTAATTCACATTTCTATACATAAAACATACACACATTACACAAACGGCAACCATATAATCATTCCGAACATACTCACCACTTAATTATAAATCACAATACTTACCATAATGACATTATATACATATTGCTTTACTTATCAGCGCAGTATTTATTCTATATTATTTATTGCACTCTTAGTTTACATATAATTTAAGCAACACACTTTATATGTGAAACAAACACAAAAGATATCTACGTAATCTTTCACTGAATGAAAATCACATAAAAAAGAATAAAGAACTTGTAGAAGAGATCAGTCACGCCACCTTCAGGCTCTAACTGAGAACACAACAGCTCTGTTGCCACAGGCAGGACCCTCGTTTAAAGAGCAGGGTGTTGCCCAGAGCCGGTGTTTATTGATTGGAGATAAGAAAATGAAGGTAAATTAATACTAACATTTGTCATGGTTCGGTGAAGCAGTGATCATTGCCTAAACAATTCCAATGTGTGTCCTTAGTCTGCCCAATATAAGAAGAATCAATAACTATCTAAGGAACAATTTACTAGATACTTCTATTAAAAAAATTATTTTATATGGGTGATCAATACATTTATTTTTATCTCTGTGTGCTCTTACTTTATTCCAATGGGTATTTGTGCTCTTCACTAGACAATCCCGAATACATTGGTGTATGGACATGATGTATAAGAGCTA